TGTAAATAATGTACATAATACCTCATCTCAGAAATATAGACAGATACTATTATTTTATTGTTTCACTTCAATAACACTTTTGGCCAACAATAGTTTTGACCATTAAACAATAAAAAATTTTCAATAGTGATTCACTTTCCTGCATAACCTAAATTCTATATATCAGGAGACTGTCTTTTATGAATGTATTCTTAATCACTTCTGCTATGGAAGTTTCATTTTTTAAACTCTATCTGTTGACGAGGATATCACTAATAACATTAATAATGAAATTGTATCTGTTGAAGAGGATATCACTAACAACATTAATAATGAAATTGTATTAGCCCAGTGTTTTGTAGCAAAAAGCAATAATAATAAGATGGAGAAAAAATCACAAAACAGAAAATTAGATAATTCAATGATTGAGGAAAAAATGTCATTTTAGACATCATTTGGAAATGTTTAGTGAATAAATTTTTGTAGAATAGCATCATCAGTTTCATAACTGGGTGTGGTTGTAGTGTCGTTACATAGCTAAGTACCTAATCATTCCCTCTACATATCTGTGTGAAAAGCCAGAGTGGTATTCATTTATGTGTGGTGTATCTTGGGGTAAGTAGACCTGGTATAAACCATCCCTCTTGGACTCCAACCACTACTGATCTCTTCCGAGTTAAAGGCTCACATTGATCATAAACAAATGGCTATTAATTCCATTGGGGAAATTCCCTGTCCTGGCTGTTGACTTCAGTTGAGGAAACCCTTCAGCTAGTGATGTCATATTATCACCACATGAGCTGCATCTATAACTATAGAGCATAACCTACCTCATTGTGAGATTGCTGTTGACCATACAAGAAATTGTATCTGCCCTTTGTTCGGTCTTGTTTTTAATCTTGTTGGGTGTGTAGCCAACCTCCTCACCAGAAAACCTGGTGGGGGAACTGGTTTTGTCGCAATAGGTTACTGGATTACATGTTATCAGCTGCAGCATAGAGTGACCTGACATTCATGGAATAGCAATTAAGGGGTTTTGTTTCTCTAGTACATAGACTTTTCAAAAATTTATATGTAAGTTAATCGCCATTTTTTCTCTTCTTGAATTCTGTTCTTTTATTGTCCTTTCTCCTCACTAATGTCTTCTCATTCTCCCAGTAACCCCTTATGTCTTAATGGTATTTTCATCTTTCTTTGGGTGGAATGATAAAAAAAAAAAATTAATATCAATACATAGTTAACTTTGTTAAACTATCTTTATAAAGTTTTTTTACTATTATAATTATATTTCTACATTTAATATTATTATTGAGCCCTTCTCAAATTTAATTGCAGGTTTAACAGATTTTTGCAATGAATACCTGTGCAGATAAGCTAGTTTTTAGAGTTGTTTTTACTCTTTTTCTGTTGAACATTGTAGAGGGAGAAGTGAATCCATGCCTTTCCTAAGTGTATTAGTTTGAAGTGAATACAAGTTGACTCAGCTGAAATTTGAACTCAGTTTGCTGATTCCATTTCCCATGCAACTTACTCTTCCATGTATCATATACACTTACAACCCATTGTTGTCTTTTCATATCTCAGAGTACTCTTACTCCTGCCAAAAGTTTTAAGTTCCAGGATATGGCATAATCCAAGTATTGCTTTCTATTCGATATGGACAGATGGCCTACATTCTGTCTTGAAATGTTATAAATAAGATATATTGACAATTATGCAACTGTTCCTTGCCAAACCTGCCTTTATATTCCATCTTCTACTTCTCAGCCAAAATTATTACCTACAATATACATTTCCTCCACCTTACCAATCTTTTCAATTCTTTTTTTTTCTCTCTGTGGTGCTTGGTATCATTGTATTGACTAGATGGTTTGTAGTGCCATTGATAGGTTGCAGCCAAAAGTTGAAGTTCTTTTATTTATATGATGACGTTTTTCTTTTTTTTACTTGTCTGGGCTGTCTCTCTATCAAAGTAGTATCAACAACAAACAATGTACTTTCTGTTAAAAGATATTGATTCTAATGCAGGGTGGGGTCTAGATATTAATTTTTGATCAAGGGTCACTCTGTTAATACAAAATAGCTCTGCACCCAAAAATTTTATCAAAATTCAATATCAAAAGAATTTTCTTTTTGTTGTTAATTTTCTACAAGACAACTGTTTCATTGGGTCACCCACTGCAAGAAAACTATGATTATCATTGAATTCGCTCCCTCACTGATTACTCTATCTTCTATGTATTATGTACAAAAGAGGAGATAATTTTTTTTTTTTTTTTTTGAGTTAAGATCTAATGCAGACTCCCCACTACTGTACTTCCTTGATTATCCAGACACCTTTGGGAATGGTGCTGAAAAAATATGTTCAGATAATTCAAAATTCTGAACAACTGAATGCCTACATTATTGAAAAAGAATGCAGAAGAAACTAATTTTTTGAACAAAATTTAACGTTTATATCATCAAATAACTTTTTCAAATGCTTTGTTCAAGGCTTTGTCCACTTTATTTCTCTTTCCCC